TCCCACCAGGGCTCTGCTCCCTCTCCAGTTCACCTCCCCAGTCCAACCTTTGCCCCAGAACTGGTGACACTGGGAGGGAAAAGCCAAACTCCCAAAGTGTGTCTGGGTTGGGACTGCTCTTTTCCCAGCTCTCCAGAATCAGATTCCCAGATTTCCACAGGTTGCCACCTCTCCCTTTTCTCCTGTAATTCCAAAGTGACAGGAGGAGCAAGAAGGAACCTGCCCTGAGCTGAGCCAAGGGAATCCAAACCTCTGCCCTGGGACCTGCAGAGACAAGTTCCTGGCCTAGGAAGCTGCTGACAACTCCCAGCTCCCAAAGGGTGTCCCTCCACTCCTGGGCTGCTTGGATTAAACTGGAAGTTGAACTAATCCATTTTTTGCCATATCCTCAGGTAGAAATCATGGAATGGACTAGGTGGGAAGAGACATCAAAGCCCACCCAGTCCCAACCCTAAAATCCATCCCACCCCATCCCACCCCTGCCATGGGCAGGGACACCTCCCACTATCCCAGGCTGCTCCAAGCCCTGTCCAGCCTGGCCTTGGACACTTCCAGGGATGGGGCAGCCATGATTTAACATTGACAGAATTATCCTTCGTTTTCCCAGCCAGGAATTCCCAGGCGTGGGAGCTGCCCATCCCTCAGCATCAAAGCCAAACAGCTGAACAAACTCTTCAAGAAAGCCTTTTATTGATATGATCCACCTCTGGTTTGGAGATTCCCTTTAAGGAAATGCAATTCCATTTGCTAAAGTCCAACCCAATTCTAGGAAGGGGGAACTCGCAGAAACTTCTGAATGTGGTAAATTTGGGAAGTAGAGAATGAAAATCTGGATGAGCTCTGGGAAAGGGGCTGCTGCTGGGGGGAATCATCCCTTCCAGGGCCAGGGGTGGGGGAATGGGAAAGAATCACAGCTGAGTTCAGGAGTCTGAAGAATTCCTTCTGCTCCGAGGGCTCAGAAAAAACAGCCATGGAAATGGCACAATGAGCACAGAATCATGGAATGGCTTGGGTTGGAACAGCCCTCTGAGATCACGGAGTCCAACCATCCCCCAGCATGGCCACGACCACCCCTGACCATGTCCCTGTGCCACATCCACACAGCTGTGAAATCCCCCCAGGGCTGGGGACTCCCTCTCCAGCTGTGTCAGGAAGCTCCTGATAGGGAAGGGAGCAGCCCCAGGACATTTGGTGCTCTCAGGTTGTTTCCTCTGGCCACTCTCCAGTTCCTGCCTAGGCCCTAGAGTTCCACACTCCATTTTTCCCTGGGAATGTGTCCTTTGTATTCACCCAGCCCAGGAATCTGGGAGACAGCAAAGTGTCCCTTAGGGGAAGTGACATTGACTGTCACAGGAGTGACAGTAAAGAGAAATCCAAAATAAAAATAAAAAAGGCTCTCATTGACTCCAACCCAATCCTGCTTCCTTCAAAGGCTGGAAGCACCTGCAGAACCACCTGGAAAGTGGAAGCTCCAATGTCTGAATTTTGATGCTTCAGCTCCCCTGCCTCAATTCTTCCCTGCAAGGAAGGGGAGAGTGACCTCCCACAGCAGAGGGGAGGCTTAATGAGTCCCAGCACTTGGCGGGGGGACTAATTAATCCCTGCAGGGATTCTTGGGAACAGGGGGCAGCTCTGAGCCCAGGCTCCAGCTCAGCTCCTCAGGTCTTCCATCCCAAAAATGCTGCGCAATCACACAGGCAAGATTCCTTATCAGGGAATCAAACCCATTTTGCGGATGGAAAAACTGAGGCAAACTGGAGGCCAGGAACAATCCCAAAGCTCAGGAGCTTCCTGAAGTACAGCCAGATGCTCCAGGGGAGCTCTGCACACTCAGACAAGTTCCAGCTCCCTCAGCAGCAGCAACCACCCCTGGCAGGCCCATCCTGGGATCAGGGACATCCCTCTCCTGCCCTACTCCAGGTATCCTGAATCCTACCAGGGTGACCAAGCCCAGGGGTCCCTCAAGGAAACAAAGTCAGGTTACCCAGAGCAGCTGGGCTGCCCCATCCCTGCAAAGTGTCCAGGGCCGGGCTGGATGGGGCTTGGAGCAGCCTGGGATAGTGGGAGCTGTCCCTGCTCATGGCAGGGATGGGATGGGAAAATATTCGGAGTCCCCACCTAAACCATTCCCTGACTCCAGGATCTCCATCTCCCCATGACCATTTCTTCTCCATGAGGAATAACTGCAGAGCTTTGCCGCTGTCCCAGAAGCAGATGTGGGTTTAACCCCCAGCTGGAATTTCCCTCTGTCCCACCCTCAGGAAAACTGGGAACACATTTTACCCATATGGGAAATGCAGTGTGTTAAAATTGTCCAGATCCTTATTGCAGCTGGGATCCATGGGATCTCCTCCAGGCTCTCCCATCGCTGTATCCCAGAGCTGTTCCCACCTCTCCAGTCCCAACACCTTCCTGGACAGCAGGAGCACAGAGCTGAAAGGAAAATGAAAGTGATCTTTCCTCCTCTTTGCTGAAGGACTGACTCCATCTTGAGCTCTGCAGTATCCTGGGATCACAGAACCACAGAATTGTTCAGCTTGGAAAAGCCCTCAGAGATTATTAAGTCCAACCATCATCACAGCACTGCCTTGGTCATCCCTGACCATGTCTCCAAGTGCCACATCCACTCTTTTCTTGGACATTCCCAGCTATGGGGACTCTCCCACTTCCCCAGGCAGCACCTTCCAGTGCTTTACAACCATGTAAACCATTCCATGATGGAATTTTGTCAATATCCAATCCAAACTTCCCCTGGTGAAACTTGAGGCCGTTTTTACCTTGTTCCCTGGTAGCATATCCCAAATCCCCCTCCCTGCACTCCACTGTGCTGTCAGGGAATCTGGGAGAGGGAGAGGGTCCCCCTAAACCTCCTTTTCTCCAGGCTGAGCACAGGGACTTGCTTAGACCATTCTGAGATGCATTTGTGGCAAAAAACCAAAGGATTTGGTTGTGCCAAAGCCAATCAGGGGGAATTCTGGAGCTGGGCCATTCCAGAGCCATTATCAGCAATTCCAAAGTCCATGAGAGAGTTCCAAGTTCTCTCATTCCTTTGGAATGATAGATAAGGAGCCATCAGGCAGTTACAGACACACTAGGCATGGACAGCATAAAAAAGCTGGAAAAATAGGAACTATCAACTCCAACCCACACTCCTCCCTCAAGCAGCAGCCCAGGAAGATTCCCCAGGCACATCCTGGGAGGATTCCCAGGAAATAAGGAACATGAACCAAGGGTCTCTCTGAAGGAAAAGATCCTACCAGTCAGGTGCAGGGACAATTTGGGATGCACCTTCCTAGCAACTCTTCCTATAATTTTTCACAGGGAACACAAAAATCCTCAAAAGAGGAAGAAAGGCAGAAATTCTTTCCCCCTTTACCTGGGAGCAGGGACAGGGCCGGGCTTAGTTCAGAACCATTTCAAAGGAGAAAGAAAACAGCACCAAATATTGACACAAGGCAAGGGAAACATTCCAGGAGGGAAGGGTGTGGAATGCATGATCCTCCAGTGCCCCCAGCAGCTGGGAAAGAGCAGCTGAGCAGGAGGAAAGGGAGGAAAACACCGGATGGGTGACACCCCTGGAGTCGGCAGAGCTTCCCCAGAGCTCCTGGAATGGTAAGGAGCTGCTCAGTTCCCAAAGGGATTCATGTGCTCAAGGAGCTGAAGTATCCCTGTGGAAGTTGCATTTATGGGAAAGGCCTCAAAGTTTTCCTGCAACCCTGCTCAGCATCCTGAAACACCCAGAATCATGGAATGGTTTGGGTGGAAAGGGACCTTAAAATCTATGACACCCCATCCCATCCCTGCCATGGGCAGGGACACCTCCCACTATCCCAGGCTGCTCCAAGCCCTGTCCAACCTGGCCTTGGACACTTCCAGGGATGGGGCAGCCACAGCTGCTCTGGGAAATCCATTCCAGGGCTTCCCCACCCTCACAGCCAGGAATTCCTTCTCAATATCCCGTCCATCCCTGCCCTCTGGCACTGGGGAGCCATTCCCTGTGTCCTGTCCCTCCATCCTTCCCCCAAACCCCGCTCCAGCTCCCCTGGAGCCCCTTTAGGCACCAGAAGGGGCTCCAAGGTTTTCCTTCCTCAGACTGATCCACACATTTGTTTTTCCCCCTACACTCTCCCCGTGGGAGGAAACAAGGAATTCCCGGTAAGGACAGAGATGAATCCATCCAGGTTTTCCCATGTCCCTGTTCCAGGCAGCAACAGCGACACACGAGCACCACCTCCTGGAGGTGACACCTCCTCTCCCTCTGGAATGGAGCTGACCTAGAATAAGGCTGGGGACACCCCTGGGCTCCCCTTGCTCCCACTGGAGCAAGGAAAAGTGGAAGTACGTCAGAATTACCAGCTCGGTTCCCTGGCACCCCTCAGGTGCTGAAAGGAATGGGAATAAAAACAGATTAAAATGGATTAAAAACCCCAACACGCAATTTAGGATAAAATTCTGTGATTTTTATTTCAATCAAATTATTCCCAAAAGCACCCACTGTTCAGGATGAACCCCTGTCCCAGGAGAGCGTAGCCAGGAGTGCTGGGTCCAGGGAGGGGATTGTCCTGCAGATGCCTCACCTGAGTCCTGGGAGGAGTTTTGGGTGGATTTTGGGAAAAGGTTCCTCATCCAGAGGGTATCAGGCACTGGAACAGCTCCCCAGGGAATAGTGACAGCCCCAAGAAGCCAAAGCTCAGGTGCTGGGATTTTGGGATCAGTGGGATTTTTGGGTTGTCCTGGGCCAAGAGTTGTAGCTGACGATTCTTGGAGGTCTCTTCCAACTAAGGGTACTCCATGACTCTGTGATCCTTGTGGGTCCCTTTCAACTCTGATTATTCCATAATTCTGGAGGTCAGGGAGTGCTTGGACAACACCCTCAGGCACTGGGTGGGATTTTGGGATGTCCTATGCGGGGCCAGGGGTTGGACTCAATGATCCAGGTGGGTCCCTTCCAACTCCAGATGTTCCATGACTCTGTGATAGGTCCCTTTCAGCTCTGGATATTCTACGATTCTGGAGGTCTGGGAATGTCTGGACAACTTGGGCATCAGGATTTTGGGATTAGTGGGGGTTTTTTGGGATATCCTGTGCAGGGCCAGGGGCTGGACTCGAGGATCCTTGTGAAGCCACTTCAATCAGGACATTCTATATTTCCTTGGGCATATTCCCTGTTATTCCAGGGAATATTCTTGATACACATGAAAAGCACATGTAGGAACTTGGATTCCAGGAGCACTTCCTTGAACAACCTCACACCCCACAAAGCCAGTTAAAACTGTCCCAAAAGATCAGTCACAGACATTCCTTGCCTTGAATTTCCGTGGGAAGTCAAGGCTTGGTCCTAACAGAGATTTAGGAATTCCCAGATCTGCCTCCTTGCCCACGAATCCATGGATGTGCAAGTTCCTCAGTCGGAGCCCTCAGGATGGGCACTGGTGGATTTGAAGAGCAGGAGGCTCCTGTCCCAGCTGGTGCTCCCGAAGCAGCAGACGAGCTCCATGGCACATTCCTGCGTCAGGATGCGGGTGATGCTCTCGGCCATGTTCCCGTTGATCTGCAGGGATCGGAAGTGCTCGAAGTCGTCCCGGCCCAGCCTCCGGAGCCGGCGCGCGGCCGCCCGGTAACACCTCCAGGGCTGCGGCTCCACCAGCAGGAACGTGCACAGGGAGGCCAGCAGGGCCAGGAATTCCAGCAGGCCCCTGTCCCCGTGGTTCAGGTGGATCCACATGGTCACAGACATGCAGAAGCCAATGTCAAAGGAGGAGCGGCCAAAGCGCTCCAGGTAGGAGCTCAGGAACGGCTCCCTGGCCCCGGAATCCATGAAGTCCAGGTTGGCGAAGGAGATGGAAGCAGGGAAGGGGCTGCTCTGCTGGGCCTTCTGGATCAGCTCGGGATCAATGTCACAGCACAGCAGCTTCAGCTCCTTCCTGGCTCCCGCTGGCTCCGGGCTGGAATTGCTGTCCTGGAGCCCCAGGAGGTGCTGGTACAGAGCCACACTCAGCTCCTGTGGGAGAAAAGCAGGGATTCAGGGAGACCTCCCTGGAGCTTCCTCTCCATGGGTGTCCAAAGGAAAATCTGACCAAGATCAGCAGAAGACCTGTCCTGGGAGCTCTGAGCACCTGGAGTGGAGCCTGGATCCCCAACACCAAGGGCCTGCTCCAAAAACCAGGGAATCATGGACTGATCTTGGCTGGAAGAGCTCAGCTCATCCCACCCCTGCCACTTTCCACCAGACCAGGTGGCTCCAAGACCCCAGAATTCCAGGTCCCCAGCCTGGAATCTCTTTCCACAGTGGATACTGATGGAAAGTGAATGAATCCTTAATTAAAGGAGATTCCATGGAGCTCCTGGAGCCGCAGGCACAGGACAGGCTGGGAATGTCCTGTGGTGGTGACAGTTGCCTGCCACTGACCTGCTCCACAGGCTCACCTGGAATGGGATCTGGAATTGTCCTTTAGGTGATGCTTCAGGGGGAATTCCAAACCCTGGGAACAGCAGGACTGTCCCAGTCAGGGTGGGTTTCAGGTGAGATCAATAATTCACCTGTGCTGGGCCAGGTGAGGCCACACCTGGATCCAGGGCAGGCCTCTGAGGGACTGGAATGTGTCTGGAACTGGAAATGGAGCTGGGAAAGGAGTGGAGCACCAGTCGGAGCTGGGAAATCCCTGAGAGAGCTGGGAGTCTCATGTGGGACCTCCTCGCTCTCCAACCTGGACAGAAGGTGGAGCTGGGAGACATTGGGATCTGCTTCCAGGAACAGAATGAGAGGAACCAATTCCAGAAGTTTAGGTTCGATTTTAGGGAAAATTCTTCATGGAGAGGAAATGGCTGTCTAGGACAGAGGGGGGGTGCACACTCCCGGAGGGATTTAACAGACCCAGGACAGTGTTTCTTCCCAGTATTTCTGTCTCTGCTCCCAGCGTGCCAGGGGAGCGACTGTCCCATCGTTCCCAGCCCTCCCTCCAACACCCTCAGCACTGCCTGCCCCAGTCCTCCCCAGCTCTCCCAGTGCTCCCCCACCGCTCCCATCTGCCTCCCTCGGCTCCTCCATCCCCCCCCAGACCCCTGCCTTTCCCAGTATTCCCAGTTTCTCCCTCTACTACCCTCTTCCTTCGTTCCCCACCAGAGTTCCCAGCCTGCACCACCCCAGAGCAGCGTTTCATCCAGAGCCTTTTCCATGGGCTGGATTGTTCCCCAGTGCCCCCCAGTCTGTCCCAGTGCCTCCAGTACCAGGGGACAGCCGATCTGCCCCAGCGTGTCCAGTGTCCTTCACCAGTGCCTCCCAGTATTCCCCACTACCCCTCACTGCTGTCCTCTAGCCTGTACCAACGTCCCCGGGTACCCCACACCACGGCTTCCCAGTCTGCCCCAGTGTCCCCAGTACCCCAAACCGGTGCATTACCAGTTTCCTCC